TTTCTTTAAATTTTATTTGTTCGCAAGTTAATCAAAAATAGTTCATCTAATCAACTTTAATAGCATAACTTTTGGTCAACATGGTCTGCAAATCAAGTGATTCAATTTTGGTAAAAATTGGACAAACGGCCTAGGATGAGTTCATTCAAATAGGTTTTATAAAAAATTCAAAATAGCAAAAAAAAAAAAAAAAAAGTATGATGGAAAATTATTTTATAGAGTGCGTTTGAATTGGCTTGAGCTAGGGAGTCAGAGGAAAAAAAAATGTTGTTTTTTGTTTCTATTTTTTATTGTAGCCCATTCGGTTTAAAAGTTCTAACGATAATCATAAGTGTAAATTTGGACAAGTGGTAGCACTAAAGAGTTTGAGTTAAAGAGTCCAAATTTGCTGTAGTTGAAGATCAGACAGTCCTCTACCAATGTGCCAAAGTTTGCGCAAATGCCACAAACAGGTCAAAGGCTGCCATAGACTTCCAGAGCGGAAGAAGATTCTGGAAGAATAAGAAGAAGAACAACTGGAATGGATACAATAGGTGCCTACACACCTTCAGTGCTTGGTCCCTAACAAAAATATGATACATGTAAATACTGTATATATAGAATTGCACTACTATTTTTTAATAGTTTTGTAGGTTTGCTAGCATAGATACAATTTCATCTAGCTAAGAAATAATACTTTTAGTTATATTTACTTGTACATCATCAATACAGTACTGTAAAAGAATAAAAAATCCAAATAATTTTGAGTACTAAGAACTATATACCAAGCTATAGCTGTCAGGGTTCTGCCACTCTGATCTTGTAAAATCTTGTTTTGGTGGCGGATCTCTGACACTACTCGTGTCCGGTCCTGTTTCTGTCTCTGTGTGCGCGCGCGCCGTCGTGGGTGTACGCAGAGTGTGCGCGCTCCTGCTTGACGCGGCCGCGTGCGCGCTCTGCGTCCCTCAGACGCGTGCGCTCTTGTACTCGTGTTTGTGTTTTCGTCTGTCAGCAGCATGGTGTTTCATTCCCAGCGTCTCAGTCTTGTTGGTTTCGGTTTTGGTCGGCGCTGGGATGAAGCATGCATGCTGCATATGTGAGCGCATGGTGAGTTCATTCATCGTGTGCTCGTGTCTTGCGTCTTTTGTCAAAGCACGTGGCTCGGTGTTTACATTGTGGTCACGTGCTTTTGTCGTGTGCTTCAGTGTTGTGTTATGTGAGCGCATGGCTTGTATTGTCTCTCTGTGTCATGCGCTCTCCCGTCTATTGTCTAGTCCCACCCTCCTTGTTAACCCATTATTAGTTTGTCATGTTCACCTGTGTGTCAATTTACTTTTTGCTTTATAATCCCCCTCATGTTTTCAGTCCTTTGCGAGTTCGTCATTATATGTAGTCGATGTTTACCTGTCTTGCTGTGTCCAGTCCTGCCTTGTTGTGCCTGCCCAGTCAAGTTTGTTTGTTTGATTTATTGTTTGTTGTAGTAGTGTTTTAGTAGTGTTTTCCCCCTCGGGGTTGTTTATTTTTGCCTTTTATTTTATTTTTTAATTAATAAATCCTACTTCACTCTGCGCTTGGGTCCTTGCTCCTTTTTCCCTTTACCGGAACGTGACAGTACGAACTCGCCAAAAATGAGGACCCAGCAGAGTGAAGACAGCCCCTTCTCCAGCCGCATACTGCAGCTCATCAGTCTGCAGTCGCTGCGGCAACGTGGCATGAAGGTGGAAAGTTTTGCGGCTAAATTTTGTGTGGCAGCAGAGGGGCTGGGGTTTAATGATCAAGCCCTGGTGAACCTCCTTAACTATGCCCTCGACAAGCCCCTCAATATCCAGCAGATGCTGAAATTGGGAGGGCTATCTTACCATCAGTTTGTGGAGCATTTGGTTCATCAGGCTGCTTATGGCGAACATCCCAATCCCAGCTCTCTGTTGCCCTCTGCTCTGCAGCTAAAGGAGAGAGTGATCCTTCAAGAGAAGAGGATCCCTTACACCAGCGCCACCTCCCAACACATGTCCAGCCCGCAAGGGCTGACCCGCACTCAAAAGCGGAGGTTAAAGAGGAAGACCTCTGCTGCAGTGCCGGCTCCAGCCCCAGAGCGCCCTCCAGTGTCGGCTCCAGCCCCAGAGCGCCCTCCAGTGTCGGCTCCAGCCCCAGAGCGCCCTCCAGTGTCGGCTCCAGCCCCAGAGCGCCCTCCAGTGTCGGCTCCAGCCCCAGAGCGCCCTCCAGTGTCGGCTCCAGCCCCAGAGCGCCCTCCAGTGTCGGCTCCAGCCCCAGAGCGCCCTCCAGTGTCGGCTCCAGCCCCAGAGCGCCCTCCAGTGTCGGCTCCAGCCCCAGAGCGCCCTCCAGTGTCGGCTCCAGCCCCAGAGCGCCCTCCAGTGTCGGCTCCAGCCCCAGAGCGCAGCTCAGTGCCGGTCCCAGTCCGGCTCCTTGCCCTGTCGGCACCACCCAGACGTCTTGCCCTGCCGGCACCACCCAGACGTCTTGCCCTGCCGGCGTCAACCAGACGTCTAGCCCTGCCGGCACCAGCCCGGCTTCTTGCCCTGCCGGCATCAACCAGACGTCTTGCACAGCCGGCACCTTCCAGACGTCTTGCCCAGCTGGCCCCAGCCCGGCTCCTTGCCCTGCCGGCTTCAGCCCAGCTCCTTTCCCTGCCGGCACCACCGAGACGTCAAGCCCTGCCGGCCCCAGCCCGGCTCCTTGCCCTGCCGGCACCACCCAGACGTCTTGCCCTGCCGGCGTCAACCAGACGTCTAGCCCTGCCGGCACCAGCCTGGCTTCTTGCCCTGCCGGCATCAACCAGACGTCTTGCACAGCCGGCACCTCCCAGACGTCTTGCCCAGCTGGCCCCAGCCCAGCTCCTTTCCCTGCCGGCACCACCCAGACGTCAAGCCCTGCCGGCCCCAGCCCGGCTCCTTGCCCTGCCGGCACCACCCAGACGTCTTGCCCAACCGGCTCCAGCCTGGCACCTTGCCCTGCCGGCACCTACCAGACGTCTTTCCCTGCCGGCACCTACCAGACGTCTTTCCCTGCCGGCACCTACCAGACGTCTTTCCCTGCCGGCACCTACCAGACGTCTTTCCCTGCTGGCACCTACCAGATGTCTAGCCCTGCCGGCCCCAGCCCGGCTCCTTGCCCTGCCGGTCCCAACCAGACGTCTTGCCCTGCCGGCCCCAGCCCGGCTCTTTTCCCTGCCGGCCCCAACCAGACATCTTGCCCTGCCGGCGCACCCCAGATGTCTTGCCCAGCCGGCCCCAGCCCGGCTCCTAGCCCCGCCGGCTCCCCTCTGGTCTTCAGCCCCGCCGGCTCCCCTCTGGTCTTCAGCCCCGCCGGCTCCCCTCTGGTCTTCAGCCCCGCCGGCTCCCCTCTGGTCTTCAGCCCCGCCGGCTCCCCTCTGGTCTTCAGCCCCGCCGGCTCCCCTCTGGTCTTCAGCCCCGCCGGCTCCCCTCTGGTCTTCAGCCCCGCCGGCTCCCCTCTGGTCTTCAGCCCCGCCGGCTCCCCTCTGGTCTTCAGCCCCGCCGGCTCCCCTCTGGTCTTCAGCCCCGCCGGCTCCCCTCTGGTCTTCAGTCCCGCCGGCTCCCCTCTGGTCTTCAGTCCCGCCGGCTTTAGTTAAGTCGCCTCTAGACCAGCCGGCTCCCCACAGGCCTTCATCCCAGCCAGCTCCCTACAGGCCTCCTGCCTTGCTATCCCAGGCCGATCCTCCTTGGGTTGTCCCTCCTGCTCCACCTTGGAGCATGCCTCTGCCACCCTGGACTGATCCTCCGGCTCCACCCTGGTTCCCTGCCGGGGTCCCTGACCCATTGCACCTGTCCTGGACTGTCCCTCCTGATCCTCCCTGGTTTTGCCCTCCCATCCCTCCCTTGTTTGTCTTGTTGGGTCTGACTTGGCTCCCCTCCCTCCCCCCCTTCATGTCTTGCCTGTTCACCTCCCTGTCTTGTGTTTGTTGATGTTGCCTGTTTTGTTGTCTTGTGGTGTTTCTTGTCTGTCTTGTACCTTGTTGGATGTTCCCTTTAGGGACGCCAGGTGGCGTCCCTTTTGGGGGGGGGTAGTGTCAGGGTTCTGCCACTCTGATCTTGTAAAATCTTGTTTTGGTGGCGGATCTCTGACACTACTCGTGTCCGGTCCTGTTTCTGTCTCTGTGTGCGCGCGCGCCGTCGTGGGTGTACGCAGAGTGTGCGCGCTCCTGCTTGACGCGGCCGCGTGCGCGCTCTGCGTCCCTCAGACGCGTGCGCTCTTGTACTCGTGTTTGTGTTTTCGTCTGTCAGCAGCATGGTGTTTCATTCCCAGCGTCTCAGTCTTGTTGGTTTCGGTTTTGGTCGGCGCTGGGATGAAGCATGCATGCTGCATATGTGAGCGCATGGTGAGTTCATTCATCGTGTGCTCGTGTCTTGCGTCTTTTGTCAAAGCACGTGGCTCGGTGTTTACATTGTGGTCACGTGCTTTTGTCGTGTGCTTCAGTGTTGTGTTATGTGAGCGCATGGCTTGTATTGTCTCTCTGTGTCATGCGCTCTCCCGTCTATTGTCTAGTCCCACCCTCCTTGTTAACCCATTATTAGTTTGTCATGTTCACCTGTGTGTCAATTTACTTTTTGCTTTATAATCCCCCTCATGTTTTCAGTCCTTTGCGAGTTCGTCATTATATGTAGTCGATGTTTACCTGTCTTGCTGTGTCCAGTCCTGCCTTGTTGTGCCTGCCCAGTCAAGTTTGTTTGTTTGATTTATTGTTTGTTGTAGTAGTGTTTTAGTAGTGTTTTCCCCCTCGGGGTTGTTTATTTTTGCCTTTTATTTTATTTTTTAATAATAAATCCTACTTCACTCTGCGCTTGGGTCCTTGCTCCTTTTTCCCTTTACCGGAACGTGACAATAGCTAGAAAGGTCTCTATGCCAACTTGCATAGTCAGGAATTGAGTAACAATAGGAGCTGTGTAGTCTTTAGTCTTGGTCTTGTATAAAAGGACAGGTGACAGCAGTCAGTCAACAGCCAGAATCAGCTTTAGCTTCTCCTTTGTGGAACCACTGACAGCACAAACATGAAGGTAAACCTCATACTAGCACCCATTCCATACAGTGAAACTCAAAAACAATTTTGCTTGGTTTAACTTTTCATAACAAAAACATTACATTTAAATTTTTTAGGTCACCTTCTTTGAGGACAGGAACTTCCAGGGTCGCTCTTATGAGTGTATGGGCGACTGTGGTGACTTCTCCTCCTACATGAGCCGTTGTCACTCTTGCAGAGTGGACAGTGGCTGTTGGATGATGTACGATCAGCCCAACTACATGGGAAGTGGATATTTCTTCAGGAGGGGAGAGTATGCTGATTACATGTCTATGTTTGGAATGAACAACTGCATCAGGTCCTGCCGTATGATCCCTATGGTGAGCCCAATGTTAAGCTTATATAAGATACAGATGAATACATTTTTCTGCTTAAGATTTTCTGCCTTATAAACTTGAAAATAACAGACTTCTGTTTCACTACAGTACAGGGGATCCTACAGAATGAGGATCTACGAGAGGGAGAACTTTGGAGGTCAGATGTACGAGATGATGGATGACTGTGACAACATTATGGATCGTTACCGCATGTCTCACTGCCAGTCCTGCCATGTGATGGACGGCCACTGGCTCTTTTACGATCAGCCCCACTACAGAGGCAGGATGTGGCACTTCGGGCCTGGACAATACAGGAACTTCAGCAATTATGGTGGCATGAGGTTCATGAGCATGAGGCGTATCATGGACTCTTGGTACTAGCGTTTCAATAAAGTAATTTTTATGCAACACTAAAAAATCTGTTCTAGAAATGTGTCACTACTTAATGAAAACAAAAAAAAGGAGAATCGTAAATAATTCAAAACTATTCATATATGTATGATATCCACTTGCAATTTTGCATGATAACACTTTACAAAATGGGTGCACAAATATGCATTAATTAATGATTAGCTAATGTACAGATAATTATGACTTAATGTATAACTCATGAGAAATGTATCAGTTTATTAATGATTACTGCAGGAACAACAAAAGAATAGTCTATTTGTTTCACACGTTATGTAATCTTAGCACAGATGTAACGTGTTCCCATGGAGAAGAATGAATAAGCACTCAACCAGCAGAATTCTGAATTTACTATAAGCTGTTTAGAGATTTGGCTGGAAGGCCAGAAAACAAGACATTACAGTAGTCCAATCTTGATGTAATAAAGACATGTATAAGCTTTTCCCCATCAGCAAAATTAAAGAAAAGATTTGAACTGTGTAATGTTCTTAAGATGACAAAAAGAAATCTTTATCAAAAGTTCAAAGTTGAGGATCAAAGATGACACCAAGATTTTGCATCTAAAATGAAGGATGTACTATTCTCAAAGAATTTCCCACAATAAAGGAAAATTCTCTGATGAAAAACACAGCTATTCCATCCAGTGCACCAGTTGAAAGAAATGCTAGCCAGGGAAGTCTAGCAATTTCTCCAGAGGTAAACAAACTGTCTTACTGGTTAAGGTTTAAGAGACGTCTTCTTATGTAGGCTAAAACTTAACTCAAACATTCATTCAGGTCCTTGCTAGTAAGCATGTGTTGTTGTTTGATAAAAATAAGCACACATTTGCACACATTTGTTATATTTCAGAACATTTATGTTATATAAACTGCATAATGTTTCTGTTGCGATGGAGAGACATGTAGACAGGGGTTCCAAACACAGCTTTATTATGAGAATGGTCAAGCAGGAAGAGGTTGAAAACCAGCATTAACAGCAAGAGAGAACTAGTAGCATAATTCATAACACAGGTAAAAAGTTCAGGGCAGGCAGCAAAGAATCCAGAACACAACATAAACCGTCCTAAAGTCAAAAACACAGGATGGCGAGAAACGTAGAAAACCACTTACAGAGTTGTATCAACAGCTATACAAGACTCAGCAGTGTATGTGTGAATGTGAGGTGTTTAAATAGTCTTTGTAATCAGTAATCATAAGTTTCAGCTACAGTATGTGTGTGTGTGTGTGTGTCAGTGTTCGGATTGTTGTCAGATGTGGCAGGAGTTGATAGGGAGTTCAGCAGGATACATTAAGTAATCTCCACTGCATGCAACACCGCTCACAACAGTGAGTGATCACAACAGTTGCATGCTGTGATTTTTTTAAAATTACACATACATACATAAAACATATGTTGATAAAAGAGCAGATTTTGCACTGTAGTTACAAACAGCTTACTTTCCATAAGTTGCTGACATGCAACTCTTATATTGTGGTTAGTTTATAAATTGCTCTTAGATTTAATTTTTTAGTTTTTTAATGCTTAACATTTATCGTTATCTATGGACCTTTTTCTTGACTGCTGCATGACTGCTGCGCCACAGTGACCAGCGTCTTCCGGTAGAATGTTTAGAACTTCTGTTTACAGCATTTACAATAGGTAATTTGAGCTCCGAAAATGGGTTTCAATAGCATTTTGAGTGGATTACATTTCAATTATCATTTCAAAGCTGTCCAAATGTGACTGTATATACACATCAGTTGGCGACTGGAAGTTCTTAGCATCCCTACACAAGCAAAGCATAATGGGCAATTTTGCAATCTAAGAAAAATGTCTGTAATAGTAATAGTAGATTACTAGTAATTGAGATACTTTTTGAATGAAGAAGCTAGTAACTGTGACTAGTTACTATTTTTCACTAGCATTAAATTGAGAGGGCAGTATTTACTACAGGAAAGGGGATCTTTTAGTGTCTTAAAAAAGAGCCTGTCTAAAAAGTTAGAGGGAGCGTGCAAGATTCTAATGAGTCATTAAACAAAATTAAAAATAGTGGAGAGAGCTTATCAGCAAATGCCTTAAAAAAGGATAACCATCTGACCCTGGGCTTTTCCCATTCTGCAATGCTAATGCGTCTTTGATGTCCTGTTCTGTAAAGGGCTCATCCTACCTGAAAGAGGTGCCAGAATCAATGAAAAAAATGCTGTGGAACCTACCAGTGTGCAGAGCCACTGTGCATTGGTAGGGGTATAATTAGGCTCTGATTTAGTAGCCTCACTTACATTTGTTATTGATTTTCAAGCAGTAGAAGTTAGGTTCAAAGATGTATTGATTCCATCAATGCTAGATACATGTTCAATTGTTACAACTGTAACAAAGAGTTGCTATAAGAACTATTTTGCTAACCTTGTGAATTTTTTGAGAAGGAAATGGTTTAAAATTGTCCTATTTGGGTTATTTAAATCTGAAAATGACAGTTTTTGGAAATTGTATGCCAGCTATTGGTCTCCTGGTGGTAAAAGATCCTATGGGTTCTCAATTACAGTATAGAAAAAATTAAAACTTCGAATTTAATATGTTGAATGTCATTAAATACTTCTACCAGTAGTTAATTTACCAGCATGGTTCTAAACTTTTTGATATCCCTAACAAGCAGAAAGCTACTCCTGGATGGAGACTGGCGTTGTGAGGCTGAATAAGCTGTAGTAATTATATTGGAAAGATATAAAGTGAAAGTAACTTACAATTTTAGTAGAACCACTACATTTTGAGGATGGTGGGTAACCAGATGAGTTGTTAGTATCTTCAGTTGAGAGGAGAATTTCTTATGAACCTGTAACCAATGTTCATTTTTCTCATGCTTGGTTGACTAAACGTAAGGGTTTGCAAAAGTTGTACAGCTAATATAGTGGCTAAACAAGACCAACAAGCTGAGTTATCTGGGAGGGGTATAAATAATAGACCTTTGACTTTTGTAACTTCTCAACAAATTAAGCGTGTGAATAAAGAAGAAATAGATTTCCCTCTTTTGGAAGAGTATGAGCAGTTGAAAGGCAGATGTTTTTTTTTTTTTAATTTAAGTTTGCTATGTCAGGGTGTTCCAAGTAGATACCTCAAGAAATTCCTCTCTAAGATAAAACTCCAGTCCATCAGCCTTATCACTGCATTCACCCCTTACAGTATGAAGATGCAAGGGCTCATACTTAACAGTCGTTGGATAGCTGTATTTTAGAAAAAGTGCTATTTGTCACTAATTGTGTTGGTACAAAAGAATGATGGGGAACTTAAAATGTATGTTGATTATCAGCAGTTAAATACAAAAACCAGAAAAGATGATTTCCAATTGACATGGATAGAAAAGTCCTTAGATGTTCTTTTTGGGCGGAAAATGGTTTTCAACATTATACCTAGCTAGTGGTTATAGTCAGATTGAGGTTGCTAAAAGGGACAAGGCAAAGACGGCTTTTTGCACTTCATTAGGATGCCCTTTGGGTTGTGCAATGCACCAAGTTCTTTTTTTAGTGCCTCATAGAATCTATGTTTAGAGACTATCAATATTAATAAGTTCTGATTTTAATTTAGTTTAATTACAAAATATAGGAACATAGCACTATTCTGCCTAGCTTGCTTTACTGAGGTTTTATATTTGCACATTGGTTAATTTTTAAATAATGATAATCTGTGACACAGTCCCTATATTCTTTACTGAGCTACACTGAATAGTCAGTGAGAAATAGCATGCAAGTATGACTTTGTTGCAAAGTCTCACCTCTCAAACTGTTAATAATACTGTAAGTGTAATTCCTGCACCTTGGAATTTGCGAGTAGGGGACTTTAGACCCTCTAAAAGAAACATGCAGAATTATAGTTCTATGAGTTTTTTTGGACTTCAGTGGGCAGTGTCTGAAATATTTGGAGAATACCTGTTAGGTACATCTTGTACAGTGTAAACTGACAGTAATCAACTGCAACACAGCAAAACTGGGTGCAGCTAAAAAGAGGTTGGCTGCCCATTTAGCTACATTTACATTAACTTTGAAGTATCAGCCTTGGATTTGGATGCATTGTCCGGTAAATAAATAGAGCCACGGAAATCTGAGGCCCAAGGGGAAGGAAGCAATATACAGAAACTGTGTGTTATCGTTCAGTGACTGGTACTCTTCCATGTTGCTCAGGTGCAGATCTTGCCTTATTGCAACAGCAGTATCCTGTTATAAGACCTTTTTTGCTACATTGAAGGAGGATAGATTTCCCAGTTCATAGGTGCAGAAAGAATTTGGGGTAGAGATGAAAGAGCTTATTTGACAGTTGAATTGCAAAATGAAAAGAATGCAGTGTTGTAAAGGTGCATTTATGTTCCAGAGGGAGGTAAGGTGGTTCACCAACTTGCTCTGCTACAGTGTGGAATGTATTTTCTGGTCTTCATGAAAACTATGGACGTCAAGGTGTGGAACACACTTGACAGATGATGTGGTCACACTATTATTGGCCATATATGGGAAAAGACATAAGGAAGTGGTGTCATAAATGTAGACAATAGGTGTGTCTTATTTCAGAGGCTGCATCCTCCGAAGGATGCAGACTTCAAAGGTGAGTCTTTTGAAGTCCACACAGGCTGAACCGAGCATTTTGAAATGAGACGATGTAACCTACAGAGGAAGGATCTTGTCACTGTAACAGCTGCTGTGTAAGGATGGCTAAATCTCTCCATAATATTAAACTCTGAAAACTGTTATGGAACTCCACATGACACAAGAATGAAGAAGGTCAGGCACTAAAACAATAAACTTTTTAATCTGAGAAGATCAGCTAGGAAACCAGTTTGTTCAGGTTGTCTTGCTCATGCATCCTGAGCCCCTCTCTTTGCCTTGGACTATACCTTTTGCACAAGACTAGCACCACAGAATGTCTATGTTTTTAATTTGGTGTATCTTGTGGCTCTATATTCATGTTTGGTATCATTTTAAATGTCTCTGTATGATTGGTAAAGTGGTCTT